AGCTAAGAATCTCGAACCCACGAGCGCAACTGCTTAATTACAATATCTGATACCCTAAAAATGAGAAAAGAAGCTATTTACAATAAGCTGAAAATTCTGGACAAAAATGCCCCTGCAAAGTTAGTGCGGACCGCACAAAATGGAGTGCGACCGCACTAGGGCTCTTGAATTCAAAATCCAACTCTCTTAACTTAGGCAATGCGGACCGCACAGAACGGACTGCGGTTGCGGAGGCTTCTAGTGCGGTCCGCACAGAATGGACTGCAGACCGTATTGGCTTGAAACTTCAAAACTGGCATCTCTCTGATTCTTGGGTCTGCGGACCGTACTAAGTCTAGTGTAGCCGCATTAACTTCAGTGCGGAATGCACAAAACGTGGTGCGGCCGCATTGCCTTTCTGCCTGAATGTCAACCTCTCTAAATCCCCTAGTGTGGACCGTACAAAATGTTGTGCGGCCGCACTGGGCCTGTTTTGCTTGAGCTTTGTCTTGTCTTGGGATTTATGCAAGTTTCACTCCTTTTTGAGTTGATCTTTGATATTTTGTCACTTTGTTGATCAAACCTGCAATCAAGCACAACTTGTGAGCCTTTTGGGACTATTTTGTATGAATTTCTAATCAAAGCATAAGCAAGAAGGAGTATAAAATGCGTTAAAATCCCTAGTTATCAACCACCAAGAGCAACCGTTTTTCCTCCAAATGGTCGATCCAAATTGGATGCATCTTTATATCTAAAAATATCTCTTAGAGTTCTATCTAGAGCTTCAAAACAATATCTATGCATCATTGGTGCTGATTCCCAAATATTAACTTTATCTTGACAATCAATTTTGATAGAGGAGTACTTTATTTTATATTACATATTGAATCTGTGAGTGGGATTGCAAATCTCAAATGAGCTGTTCGACCTCCTGATAACAAAAGAGATGCAGTTCCGCTGGACGCAACTGTTAACACAATGTCTCCTTTAGATCTTATGGTTGAAAACAAAGTCCTCCAAATAAATGTATTCCCAGTTCCTCATGACCATATAAGAAGAATAATCCACCTTTGTCCTCATGCATTGTTGTGATAATTTTGTCATACACTAACTTTTGCTCCACTGCTAATTTAAATTCTTCATGTTCCTTAGACAAATAACACCTAATATAATGCAATTCATCACAAATGAGTCTATTGGCATTTTCAATACCATCAACGGAATTTCCAATCATACCATCACCAATTGCTAAATTCCTATCAGAAAATTGTCTTAGATCATTCAAATGTGAATCCACATTACTTTCTTCCAGCCTAATATTTTTTGTTAGCTTTAGGACATGATAGTGATTCCACAAATATGAAGAACTAAGGATAGCATTAAATATCTTGCCTAGTACCTTTTGGAATGACTGGAAGTATTTTTTTGAAGTCACCACCAAGAACAACCGTTTTCCTCCAAATGGTCGATCCAAATTGGATGCATCTTTATATCTAAGAGTATCTCTTAGAGTTCTATCTAGAGCTTCAAAACAATATCTATGCATTATTGGTGCTTCATCCCAAATATTAACTTTGTCTTGACAATCAATTTTGATAGAGGAGTACTTTATTTTATATTACATATTGAATCTTCAGTTACATTGAGTGGGATTGCAAATCTCGAATGAGATGTTCGACTTCCTGGTAACAAAAGAGATGCAATCCCGCTTGACGCAACTGTTAGCACAATGTCTCCTTTAGATCTTATGGTTGAAAACAAAGTCCTCCAAATAAATGTATTCCCAGTTCCTCATGACCATATAAGAAGAATAATCTACCTTTGTCCTCATGCATTGTTGTGATAATTCTATCATACACTAACTTTTGCTCCACTGCTAATTTAAATTCTTCATGTTCCTTAGACAAATAACACCTATTATAATGCAATCATCACAAATGAGTCTATTGGCATTGTCAAGCAGGAGACAAAGTGATGGTGGAAATTCCAAAGTGATACTTATTTGCAGGGGTCCATCATCCTCGCCTATTGCAAAAGTACATTGGCCCCTGGGAAAGTTGCATACCAGGTGGATACCCTAGCCTGGTCGAAGATTCATCCAATCTTCTATGTCAACCTTTTGAAACCTTTTCGGGAAGACATAGAGGATCCTTCGCACAACCAACTCATAATACCCATAATATTTTTCACAACATGACTCACAACTTGTTAGAAACCGGAGATACGATAAAAAGACAAAGGAAAAGTCCCAACATACACTACAATTTCTTTTGGCCGTCAGCCTCTTGTATCTCCTCTTCTTCAAAATTAAACTCTAAACTAGATAGAGAAATACATACAATGTGCTCAAACTACAGTCGTAGACATCATTGAAACTAAACCCGATTCTTCCTCACCTGCTTCTCCACTCAGCCGCCACCTTTGCCGAACTAACTCCCAGTCAGCTTAACGGCTTCAAAAATCAGTTTTTTTCCTCTTCAAAAGAATAAGAAGTTTTAACTGCAAAATCCTACAACACTTTCAGGTAATCTTGTTCTTCCATAAGACATGTATTTTCAATTTGTTACCTTTGATTTTGTTGTAAAAAATATATTTACTAATATGAAGATCTAAGTAATTTAATTCAAAGTTAGTGTTAAAGAGTAGATAGTCTTTCGTTTTTTTGTCCATGGTTTATTGTATTTTTTTTTTGCAAACTTTAATATTGTCTAATTTGAAATATAATCATGAAATCCATTATTAAAATATTTTGGGGAACTAAATTAAAGCTTTACTAGTCTCCTAATCGAGCCACATGTCCATCCCTTACAATTCTCAATCAAAATTTATAGAGTTTCAATTAAGATAAGACAACAATCAATGAATGTGTTATTTAGTTATCAAATGTGAATGAAGCTGTTGAATAACACGTTCATGGGCAGTAGTCTATAAATAATTGTTGATCATTAATGAGGGCGGCTCAACGGAACTGCTGGCTTAAAACTAAAATATATTAAAAGACCCTGAATTTTTTTCATAATATCCATATAATATTGAGGCAAAAAAATGGTGAGAGAACAATATATAATATGTGGGTTAGGTGTAAATCATATGGTATTGAACTCCCTATAAAATAATATAGCATTAAATGAAAATGGTAAAAGGATTGAGCCCATTATCGATCGTGTTTTGAACCTTACGATAATTGTCTCTAGGATTTCTTAGTTTAAAAAAACGAGATACAAAAGAACTTGATTATTAATATGAGGGTCTATCAAATGTGACAAAAAGGAATAGCTAATTTAGAGAATTCGATTTTAAATTAGAAAGTAAAATAGTTAAAAATATGAAAAAAGAAAGAAAAAAAGAAAAATAAAATTGATGAGAAGATAAATATATTATTTAATTTAGTGAGAGAGAAGCTTTATCCTGATTCAATCCTAATCTACCAAATTCAAATAAATATTAGAATTTAAAATATTTTATCAATAACTATTTGGGTGCCTTACCCTAGAGCCGCCCTGGATTGATTTCCTTGGATTGATTTACAGATATTATACGAATGAGTGCTGCTGTGCTTCCTAAACATGTGGCTGCTGTATTAAAATGTCAAAAGAACCCATTAAGGGCACTAGAAATATTCAATTCAGTGAAAAAGGAAGATGGGTTTAACCATAATTTGTCTACCTATAAATGTATGGTCGAAAAGCTTGGTTGTTATGGGGAGTTCAATGAAATGGAAGGCGTCATCGAAAAAGCGAGGCAGAAGATTGATAATAAGATGTTAGAAGGGGTGTACATTACTGCTATTAGAAGTTATGGGAAGAAAGGGAAAGTTCAAGAGGCGGTTGACGTGTTTGAGAAGATGGAGTTTTTCAATTGTCAGCCGTCTGTTCATTCGTATAACACGATCATGAATGTATTGGTTGAACATGGGTTTTTTAAACAATCTCATAAGGTTTATATGAGAATGCTGGAAAAGGGGATTTCTCCTGATGTATATACCTTTACTATTAGAATAAAGTCGTTTTGTAGGACGAACCGGCCTCATGTTGCTTTGAGGCTTTTGAATAACATGCCCGATCAAGGATGCAAATTTAATGCAGTTGCTTACTGTACAGTAGTTGGTGGATTTTATGAAGTGAATTGTCGAGTTGAGGCTTGCGAATTGTTCGATGAAATGCTTAGGCTCGGAATAACTCCTGATGTTACTACGTTTAATAAGCTTATATGTATGCTTTGTAAGAAGGGGGATGTCCAAGAAAGTGAAAGGCTTCTTAATAAGATTATGAAAAGAGGAGTGTTTCCAAATCTTTTTACATGTAATGTCTTGATGCAAGGTCTTTCTGAGAGAGGCCAACTAAATGAAGCTGCTAGGATGTTAGAGACTTTGAACAAAGAAGGTTTAAATGCTGATGTAGTCACTTATAACACTCTTATATGTGGTTTATGCAAGCACTCAAAGGTTGCTGAAGCTGAGTCTTATTTGCATAAAATGGTGAACAGTGGGTTTGAGCCTGATGCATTCACCTATAACACAATCATTGGTGCATATTGCAAATTGGGTATGATACAGAAAGCAGACAGAATTCTTAATAATGCAGTTTTTAAAGGTTTTGTTCCTGATGAGTTTACTTTCTGCTCCCTTATTTATGGATTATGTCAGGATGGTGACTTTAACAGAGCCAAGAGTTTATTTAATGAAGCCGCAGGTAAAGGTATGAAGTGTAATGTAATCCTATATAATACCTTAATTAAGGGAATGTGTCAGCAGGGACTTATATTAGAAGCGTTGAAGTTGATGACTGAAATGCCTGAGAATGGTTGCAGGCCTGATACATGGACTTATAATCTGATCATAAAGGGTTTGTGCAAGATGGGCTGTGTATCTGATGCTAGTAATATCCTGAATGTTGCCGTGGCCAAAGGGACCCTTCCTGATATTTTTACCTTCAATACCTTGATTGATGGTTATTGCAAACAGTCGAAATTGGCTGATGCAATCGAGATTCTAAATACCATGTGGGATCATGACGTTGTTCCAGATGTGATAACGTATAACACAATGTTGGATGGACTTTGCAAGCTTAAAACTTCTGATGATGTGATGGAAACCTTCAAAGTCATGGTGGAAAAGGGGTGTGTCCCAAACATAATCACATATAATATTCTCATTGAGAGCCTTTGTAAATCAAGAAAGTTTATGAAAGCTTTAGACTTACTTGAGGATATTCAAAGCAAGGGTCTTATTCCTGATACAGTGACTTTTGGCACTTTGATAAATGGGTTTTGTGAGAATGAGGATTTGGAAGGAGCCTATGAGCTATTCAGAAGAATGAAAACACAATATAATTGCTCTCATACTACTGCAACGTACAATATTTTGATTAGTGCATTTGCTAAAAAGCTGAAAATGGACATAGCAGAGAAGCTATTTCTTGAGATGAGTGAATGTGGCTGTTCTCCTGACAATTACACCTACCGTTGTATGATAGATGGTTTCTGCAAGGCAGACAACAGCGAATTGGGGTACAAGTTTTTGCTTGACAACATGACGAAAGAGTTTCTTCCATCAAAAGAAACAGTAGGGCGAGTGATCAATTGCCTATGCGTGAAGAACAGGTTGCTCGAAGCAGTTGGTATCATTCATCTCATGGTGCAGAAGGGTGTTGTACCTGATGTGGTCCACACAATTTTTGAAGCAGATAAAAAGGATGTGGCAGCTCCCAAGATCGTTGTGGAAGACTTGCTGAAGAAGAATCACATAACCTATTATGCCTATGAGCTTTTATACGACGGGATAAGAGACAAAAAGGTTTTGAAGAAATTATCCGTGCAGGTTCGTCCTATTCAAGTAATTACTTTTCTCATTTACTGGAGTACACATAACAATGACCCACTCAAAAGTCTTTTGCCTGGATACAACAACTCTAATAATTGTATTTATAATGTATAAATATTTAAGCCAAGATGGTAAAAGTTAAGTGATTCAACTAGCTATCCAGTCAAATGGTTATTCTTGTTGAAAGTTGAATATATGAAAAATAAAAGGGGACTTGTTTCGGAGATAATCTGGCAGGTGAAATGATTGTGTGTGTTTGACCGGTTTCAGCTGCAAATTGTTTTTATAACATTACTTGAATAAACTTTGCTCTGAGACAGTTTTATAAATTCTTTTTCTGGAAAGTCACTACAAAAAGTTAAGCTATCTAAACACATTTTAGTGTAATTAATTCTTCCAGAAAACCTTCAGAAACCTCTCCGGATTATTTTCAAAACACCACCTAGCATATTCTGCATGCAACAATGGATTGGAAGATGGAGGATAAAATGAAAGAAACTTACTTTTCTCTTATATTTGGCTTGAGGGAGGAGAAATGGAAATGCATGAGACAGAATACCACATGAACATGCATTTTGCAAATCGGGGACATTTTACTTTTTCTCCAGATGCAAAGTAAGAATGCTCAAAATGAAGAAATATAAGAACACAGGTTATGTTCAGCCCTTTCCCCAGAGAATCAAGAAGCAATTGCACTCACCAGCCTGCTGATAGATCACCTAAAAGAAAAAAAATGCACGAACAAATGAAACTCTAATCAACTGGATTAAGATTACGTTTTATTCAGAAGATCAATTAAAGCTGAATGAACTATAAATTTGACATGTAAACGAACTTCTTGGATTGAGACTACTTGCAATGACAAGAGAGCTTGCCCACAACTCAGAAGTCTAGAGCTAGTTGTTCTAAGTATTTTTGCTTCTTTCTTCTGTACACAGAAAATATTCTACCACTAGTCACTTGAGCATTGATGGCAATCAAACTAAGGTAATATTGAGTCACGATTTGTGAGAAGTAGCAAAACATGATTGAAGCTATGCTGTTTCAAATCCATCTTACAAGAGCGATATAGCTGTAGTCTCATGAAGAAGACAGTGGTGCAAAAACATGATGGCGAAAGCCTGTGACAGTAGCTGAAAACAGCGGACCTTTGAAGAGAGAGTGGGTTTAGCCTCAATGCTTCTTGGCTAACTCAATCATGTTGATTCAATGCTTAATTATCCAATGATGTTTCCCAAGTCTCTCCATGGGACATCTCCTGGTTACACCTCTCAGCACTCTTAGATCAGGTAATTTTACAGCATTGTTCTTTCTTCTTCAGCATCCAAAATAATAATAAACTCAGCTAAAAGAAACCGTATATTTGCAAGTGTAAGCTGATAGAAAGGAGAATCCAAGCCCGGCTTCTTATGTAGATTTGTTGGAAATTTGACGAAAGTTTCAAACAAATAAATAAATTTGTGATCTATAGTTAGATACTGTAAAAAGAAGACCGAAAATTTTGAAACAATATCAAGTTCTTTTCTATAATTACATGTTGTAGAGAATCTCATGATGAGTTTCAGACCATTTTCAGGATTTACTTCCCGAAATGTTATGGATGTCCCTCCCCCCACCCCGGGGCTTGTAATGAAAATATCATACATATATGGAGGAAGTGATCAGAGTAAAAGACATTTCTCGTCTGACTACAAAAAAAAACTGATGACAATTGTTTGTTTTATCTGATGTGGCTCATGATTTTCCCCTGTTGATGTAAGGACTTTGACAAAGGTCTTAGCAAGGAGTACATCGATGCTTCTATAGATATTGTACCACTAAGGACCTAAGCCCAGTTGTGCATCAAAAAGGTTGAAAAAACTGCTTGATCCCTATACCGATTGTTAGATAGTTATGTATATAATATGAATTAGTCCTAGTCCCACATAGAATAGGAATATGATATGTATTGTATAAATAAGGTTCATTGTATTGTAATTAAACAAAATATCAATAATAGATTTTTCTCCTGTGTGTTCTCACATGGTACCAGAGCAACCGTGAGAAGTTTATCGCTGTGCATAAATTCCAGCGACTCTAGGAAGAGAAATCTCAATCGGAAGCCCTTTATCCGGCAAAAACAGGTTTGTCCGCAAGAACAATAGTATCCATCAGTGTTGTGCAAAAACCAACACTACTAGGAAGTAGATTAGGGCTCGGCGGCCAAACTTTTAAAAAATCTCCGACAGAAAAGGATTCACACGCTCACGCGCGGCAGAAGAATTTCTCTAGCGAAGTTCCGACGTCCATGCGCCGGGGCTTGAGGTTGTTTCCGGCCAGATTTTGGCAAAACTTCTTCAGGAGAGCCTGTTCTCCTTGCAATTTCGAGCCTACCCATCCAATTTAAATCAAATTCCGACCACTTTTATATATTTTTGACGTGAACAGTGATTATTCCGGCGCAAACATTATAATGGCATTCATATTATAATGGCATTCATATTAGAATCCAATTTAGATGGTTTCTTTACCAAATTATATTGAGTTCCTTCAGTACAAAGCATGTAAACAAACATCTTTAGGGATAGCTTCCGCTGTACAAACAGATAGTAGCGTGACTTGTGTCTCCCAATCTTCAGCCTTTGAGTCTTGGGTCATTGATTCAGGTGTATCTGATCATATTTCTAGTAACAAATTGCTTTTCACTACTCTTTCATGTTCTCAATCTTTCCCAACAGTCAAAATGGCCAAAAACCACCATGGCAACTGGAATAGGTCATGCAAGTCCACTTCCTTCCTTACCTTTAGATTAAGTTCTTTATGTTCCCGGTAGTCCTTTTAATCTCATAGCCGGTAGTCGCTTAGCTAAATCACTTAAATGCTCTGGTTTATTTGTTGATGACCTTGTTTTTATGCGGGAACGCACTACAGGGCGGATCATTGGTACCGGGCGTGAATCAAATGGACTTTATTACCTTATCCTTGCAAAATCACATGGTCTCACATCTTGTCTTCCTTCAATAACTTGTCATGTTAATGATTCACCAGATTTATTACATAAATGGTTGGGACATTCAAGTTTCTAAAAACTTCAGAAAATGGTACCTGATTTATCTCACTTGTCCACTCTAGAGTGTGAGTCATGTCAGCTCGGTAAGCATACTCACTCCTATTTCCCTTGGCGTCTTGATAATCGAGCAGAACTACCTTTTACTTTAGTCTATTCAGATGTTTGGGGTCCTAGTCGGGTCAGTTCTACCTTGGGATTCCGCTACTTTGTCAGTTTTATTGATGATTATTCCACGTGCAGTTGGATATTTTTGATGAAAAATCGATCTGAGTTGTTTTCTATTTTCTAGACCTTCTACATTGAAATCCAAAATCAGTTTGGGGTTTCTATCCACACATTTCGTAGTGATAATGCCCTAAAGTATTTATCTTCCCCATTTCCCTATACATCTTATTGAAAATGCTTGTACCCTACTCATACAATCTCATGTCCCCTTGCATTTTTAGGGATGCAGTTCTTAATCTTGCTATCTTATTAATCGTATGCCATCTTCAGCTATCCAGAATCAAGTTCCATTCTTTATCCTATTTTCCCACTTACCTTTGTTCTCTCTTCCACCCCGTGTCTTTGGGAGCACGTGTTTTGTTCATGATTTTATTCCAGGAAAAGATAAGTTTGCTCCTCGTGTTCTTAAGTGCGTATTTTTGGGTTACTCGAGAATGCAAAAGGGATATCGATGCTATTCTCCTGACCTCCACCGGTATCTTATGTATGCTGATGTTGCATTTTTTGAAACCCAATCATACTTTACAAGTCCAGGTAATGACTTAGATATTTCTGAGGTGCTACCAGTTCCATTTTTTGGAGATTCAGTTACTATCTCTCATTCATCTTCCTCTATAACTCCAGCTTCACGAGCTACAGCTCCAGTTGCAGCTCCACCACCTAGTCCAGTTCAACCTTCTACAACTCCACCACTCTTAACTTATTATCGTCGTTCACGCCCAGCATATGGCTAGCTGATTCACGTCTTGCACCTGACCCTGCTAATACTGCACTTGTCTCCTCTTAGTCAACCGATTGCACTACGGAAAGGTATACGGTCTCACTTAATACTAATCCCCATTATGTCGGTTTAAGTTACCATCGTCTGTCATCACCCTATTGTGCATTTGTATTATTTTTGTCCTCTATTTCCGTCCCTAAGTCTACAAATGAAGCACTGTCTCATCCAAGGTGGCGACAAGCTATGATTGACAAGATGTCTACTTTACATACGAGTGGTACTTGGGAGCTTGTTCCACTTCTTTCGAGTAAATCGACTGTTAGCTGTCGTTGGGTGTATGTAGTTAAAGTTGGTCCAGATGGCTAGGTTGATCGACTTAAGGCTCGTCTTGTTGCCAAAGGGTATACTCAGATTTTTGGGCTCGATTACAGTGATACTTTCTCTCCCATGGCTAATATAGCATTAGTCCGCCTTTTTCTATCCATGGATGTTGTTCACCATTGGCCGCTCTATCAGTTGGACATTAAGAATGTTTTTCTTCACGGTGACCTTGAGGATAAGGTTTATATGGAGCAACCACCTGTTTTTGTTGCTCATGGGAAGTCTAGTGGCCTTATATGTCGGTTGCGCCGGTCCCTCTATGGTCTAAATCAGTCTTTTCGAGCCTGGTTTGGTAAGTTCAGCACAATTATTCAAGAGTTTGTCATGACTCGTAGTGAAGCTAATCACTTTGTGTTTTATCGACATTTTGCTTCAAATTATCTGATGGTTTATGTTGATGATATTGTTATTACTGGCAATGATTAGGATGATATTACTAAGTTGAAGCAACATCTCTTTTAGCACTTTCAGACTAAGGATCTGGGCAGATTAAAGTATTTTCTAGATATTGAGGTCGCTCAGTCTAGCTCAGTTATTGTAATCTCACAACGGAAGTATGCCTTAGACATTCTTGAGGAGACAAGAATGATTGGCTGTAGACTTGTTGACACTCCTATGGATCCAAATTCTAAACTTCTACCAGGACAGGGGGACTCTCTTAGCAATCCTGCAAGATATATGCGGCTGGTTGGTAAATTAAATTACCTCACAGTGACTAGACATGACATTTCCTTTCTTGTGAGTGTGGTAAGTCAGTTCCTGCATTCTTCGATATATAAAATCAGCTCCAGGCAAGGGATTATTATTTGGCCATGAGCAATTTGTTGGGTACTCAGATGCTGGGATTATTATTTGAAGATCGAGGCCATGAGCAATTTGTTGGGTACTCAGATGCTGACCGGGCAAGATCATATTTTGATAGACGTTCTATGCCTGAATATGTATTTTAGTAGGAGGTAATTTGGTGTCTTAAAAGAGTAAGAAACAGAATGTGGTTGCTCGTTCTAGTGCAGAAGCAGAATATCGAGCAATGGCTGTGGCAACATGTGAGCTAGTTTGGATAAAAATATTTGTTTAATGAGTTGAAATTTGGTGAGGTCAGCAAGTTGGAACTTGTATGTGATAATCAAGCTGCCATTCATATTGCATCAAATCCGGTGTTCCATGAGAGAACTAAACACATTGAGATTGACCGTCACTTCGTCAGAGAAAAGATACTCTCAGGAGATATTGCTACAAAGTTTGTGAAGTCGAATGATCAACTTGCAGATATTTTCACCAAGTCCCTTACTAGTCCTCGTATTAGTTATATATGTAACAAGTTCGATACATACGATTTGTATGCATCGGCTTGAGGGGAGTGTTAGATAGTTATGTACATAAATATGAATTAGTCCTAGTCCCACATAGAATAGGAGTATGATGTGTATTGTATAAATAGGGTTCATTGTATTATAATTAAACGGAATATCAATAATAGATTTTTCTCCCGTGCGTTCTCACACTGTTACCAATTTTCATTTTACTATAACAAATTTTCTTGGCCATCCCACGTGTTGTGCTGTTGGTATGTTTTTACCCGGACAGAGAGAACTTTTCTCTTTTAGGTACTAGTTATGTAAGCAATGGGAATCTCGTTGTTGTCGTCCTCTATAGTGGTTTCGTAGAAATGCATGTTTGATCATTTTACAAGCTTGAGAAACAAGTGTTTCAGTAGATGAGTTTTCATGTTTGTGCTGGAAAATACGCATGCAAAATAAATATAGACTCCTTATGTTAGAGCTAAGGGTGGAAACCAGATGGGCCATGGCGTGGCAAAGAAAAAATGGGGCAGGGAGGTGAGTTCTTAGGTGGCACAGGGTGGGTAGGTCAAAATTCAGTTTTTTTTCATAAAATAAAAAACGCGGTAAAGATTAACAGAGTTTAGGTAATTAAAGATTAACGCGGTATCCATTTTTGTGAATAACGAGCATCTCTAAGTGGAGAAGTTTAGAGCTTGCGTTCACAGAGATTTTTCAAATCATAACCGGTACAATATCAAGAAATTTCCAAGAACACCTAAATTTTCCGAAGCCATCGTTTTACCATGACATTGTAATTTCACCACTCTCTTTAATTATGAAGTTCAACTGATGTTATATAGTATTTGTGTATGAAAAATATGATTGGAACTTGGTATTAAAGTAAACAAAAAATAGATTTTCTTGACGTTAAAGAGTTGAAGGAAGAAGAAGATGAATAGTAACTTGGGGTATTAAATTGAGTTAATTAATGACTCTAAATAATTCTATTGAGTTAACATATGCTTTGTAATGACATTTTGGACCTAAATTATGGGAGTAATTGAGAAGAAGGGTATTGGATGCCTTGATACCGATTGTGAGTCCAAAAATGGGTTATGATAATTTGTTTGAACTTGAATGGATGAAGTTCAATTGTAAATATTGTAGATTGATAATTGTTGAATGTATTGGACGTATCGAGACCATTATTGGGAGCGAAATAAAGGTAAGTTAAGATGTACCTTCCTTTAAGGAGTTTTGCAAAAAATACATGAAAGTGAGTCTATGAAATTGTCTAAACTGTTTGTATAGTTTTGTAAAGAACGAGCTATGCATTCCATGTTTGAAATGAATGGGCTATCGTGTGCTTAGATATCCATATTGTTATGTTGGTTATACTATTGCCTCAATCTAAACGATAGCACCATGATGACACTGTCGCTCTTACTTTCATGTCACTACCATCAGAATCCCTATTCATTACCATATCTTTTTCATGAGTCCTGACTTTGACAGCGTTTGATTATATCGTTACTCTGTCTTCCTTCAAACAAACCATTGGTATTTTAACAGGTGTTTTTAACTTATCCGGGGCATTCTTTCTTTCCTTTAATTTCATTCCCAATATGAGAGTGACAATTACCTTATGCACTACACTTCAAGTAGCTAGTGCCATCGCTTGAGTGTCGAATCTTGCGCCCTTCAATCATGCCGTTTGTCACCCATTTGTGAGAGAGACAAAAATAGGAGTTTGATTCTCATTTTACGCTTTAATGCATGATCAAGAATGAAAAAAGCGAAAACGTTTCTAAATGTTATGTTGCATCCCAATTATAAGTGTGGAAGCGCAACATACCAATAAGAGTGAACTCTACTAGACACTGTCACACCCTAGGACATATCCAACCTAGCACTCTGATACCATGTTTTTCACATCCCAAAAAGACAAACGCAGCCGACACCCAATGCCATCAAGTCACACCGAGTGAACCACATAAACCTGTCGACCCCTTCTTGATTATTTCAAAGTTTTAATTACAACTTAAACATTTAGAAACCATTTTAAATCATTTAGTTTCAAAGTCTCCTTTTTAGCTCAAAACATAATTAGGCATGTGGCCAAAGTACATGAGTGCGGAATGAATTATGAGAAATAAAAATATAAAGCCCATCTACATGATTAGACCGACGCACAGTGTCATTGGGACCTCTATAGACATACAAAGTTAATATAATCTCTAGATGCACCCACTGATAAAAGAAGCAGGGTCACCAAAGTATAGTAGAAAATAAAGGAGACGCCTAGTTTCGTGCTGTCAACTTCAGATGCTACAATATATCTGAAACGTCAAGTAAGTTGTCCCACAAATGAGACTGAGTATAATTTCTATGAAATCATACCCTTGAGTATCATTAACTCCTCCCGAAAAGATTCTTGAGCACTGGCTTTGGAACTCCGGGATACAGGATAAAATAGTATATCATGACCTTTTTTTTTGAGAAAGGTAAAAATATAACGTGACATTTTGACAATGCAATTAATAAAGCTTTAAACAATGAAATGCATTTTATGTGATAAAATGCAATAATTTAAGTCAAAGCATTATTTTAGCAATTTCTTATTTAGGTTAGGGAGTTCTGGATAAGGATAAGGGGATCTATTAGGCAGAAGTAAAACATTCACTCAACAATTGTTCCTCGCAAAAGGAATATAACCAATTGAGATCATCATCATCATTGTGCCATGTGTAATATCATGACGGACGAATGTTCACTCAACAATTGTTCCTCGGAAAAATAATAAAACATTCACTCAACAATTGTTCCTCGCAAAAGGAATATAACCAATTGAGATCATCATCATCATTGTGCCATGTGTAATATCATGACGGACGAATGTTCACTCAACAATTGTTCCTCGGAAAAATAATAAAACATTCACTCAACAATTGTTCCTCGCAAAAGGAATATAACCAATTGAGATCATCATCATCATCACTGTGCCATGTGTAATATCATGACGGACGATTGTCAAGTCGTTATAAACTCATCATGGTGCTATCATTTATTTCAAGGAAATAGTATAACCAACATATCAATCTAGATATTTAAGCATATGTAGCCCATTTCATTTCAAACATCGAATGTATAGCTCGCTCGATCATACAAAACTATACAAACATTTTAGACTTTATCATAGACTCACTTTCATGCACTTTTAGCATAACTCCTTAAAGTAAGATATGTCTTAGCTTACCTCTATTTCGCTCCCAATAACGGACTTGATACATTCAACATGTCCAATATGTTCAACAATTATCAATCTACAACACTTACAATTGAATTTCATCAATTTAAGTTCAATCAATTCATCATAACCTATTTCCGGATTCACAATTTGCATCAAGCCATCCAATACTTTTCTTCTCGATTGCTCTCATAATTTAGGTCCAAAATGCCATTACAAAGCATACATCAGCTCAATGAAATTATTAGAGTCATTAATTAACTCAATTATTAACCACAAATACTATTCATCTTCTTCTTTTTTGAACTCTTTAATATCATGAAAAGTCATTTTTGGATTTACTTTAATAGTAAATTTCATTCACATTCTACCCAAATACACTTAATAATATCATTTGGACTTTATAATTGAAGAGAGAATGGTGAAATTACCTTGTTGTAGTGAAATTCTAGCTTCAGAAGATTTAAGTGTTCTTGAAAACTTCTTGAGATTATTACCACTTTTGATTTGAATAATCTCAAGCAAGCTCTAAGCTTCTCCATTTAGAGCTGCTCGTTATTTGCAAAAATGGAGATGGGCGTTTCCTCTTCGCTACCTTCGGGTAGAAATCAAGAAATGGGAAAATGCCCCATTTTTTGCTTCTCTCTCCGCAAGTTACTGCATAAGATGATTATATAATCTTTGAGCCTTACTTAGTGTAAAGCTTTTAAGTGGGTAGCCAACTTTGATTACTTTATATTTATCATATCAAAGTATCTCTTATTATACAAACGTATGCTACCAAAAGGATTATTCTTATTTAAAGCACACGTTCTCCCCACAATGACTAATCAAGATTTAATTTTTTGATTTTTCCTTTTCCATTTTTCCCCCAACTCTTGGCTAGACCTTGCTACTTCCAATCCCTTCCAACTAGTTCCATAGGCATGCTTATGTATCCCAATGACATCACCACCCTCGTGTATGCCCAGATACACCTCAGGATCACTTTAAATGCATCTTTTAGGTTTTAAATAACCCAAAATAAGGTCCAAAATTTATGGGGCTTTGTAAGCTGGCCATCGGGGATTTATCAGATATCTACGGAAAAAAAGAAAATAACTCAGTTTTGGAAAGCCATTATTAGAAGCGATGATGCTGCCTAGTCCTACCATTCTCTACCGCTTCCTCAAAGCCATGCTTGACGAAAAAAGTACTCTCCCTGGTTTATTATTGTTCTTTAACAACGCCAAGTTCTGTTTTTCCTTTGTTTTCTCTGAATTTGTTTTATGCCTTTTTTAACTTTAATCAAGCTTTGTTTGAACCCAAGTTTAATGGTATATTTACGATTCTCTGTTTCCCTTGTTTTTTACTGCTGAGGTTAGAATCTGATTTTGTCTTTGATGGGCAGCATGTGTGAGAGTTGGTGAGAGAATATCGCCATGACTGAAATGCATGGGGCGTGGATGGTAGAAGTTGATCTGAATATCAAGAGTGGAATCTTAGATGCAGTGAAATCTTTTACCCCTTAACTGATGTTGTGAACTGATAACTCTCTCTGAGGCAAGGCGTAGATCTCCTTTATGGGACATGCAGAGCATAATGACTTGGGTCATTGCTTAATAGAGCCTAAAGCCATCTTTTCTGGAGCTATCAAACAGAATTTTGACAGTTGAAAATGGTTAGATCTAATCAGCTAGTATTTGGTATATCGTAAATGTTGTCTTCTTGTGGAACTGTTCTTCTATTGTTTCTTGATAAGTGAACATAAAAAGTGTTTGTGTGCAATATAGCCATAGTCCCCTGTTCAGTAGTGTAGGGAACTGATAGAATCCATCATATCGTCCCATCACGACTCACACACAATACTAATATTACACCAAAAAGGTGTGAACATGCAGACTTCAAGCTATTAGGGGCTTTCTAATTGCTCCAAAACATCTATAGTACGTTTATTATAAATGACTAAAAAAGTACAAAGTGGGACGTAGTTCCAGCTCTGTAAGATAGTCTCCAAGTCATTGGCATCACATAATGAACATACACAGATCCCATTAAGCTGTAGATTAATCACCTAGTTTCTCTATCCTTCACAAAATAGTTTCACTTCATTAGTATTTTGGTCTTCGGTTTGTGAACTTGGTCAACTATTGCTTGTTTAACAATTATCACATTGTGATATTAAAGATTTGGCTTTTGTGAGACTAGAGCAGTTTAATTTGCATTTGATTTTGGTGAAGATTGGCCATAGCTGCAAGATTGTACTTTAAAATTTATCATTTGTTATGCCTTTCTGTGTATAGAGTACTTGAGAGAAAAAGGAGTTTGAGTAACTTTTGTCCTTGGCTACTATTTAGTTCGTAGACTTTACTTTCCTGTAGCTGCTCAAGGATTTAGCATGTGTAGTGTGATATGACCAGTAGGAGAGCAGTGTTTAGTAGCCTAATAAATTCAAAATTTGAAGAATTTTCAGTGTAGTTCTTTAGTAGGTACTGGAACGTTGTGCTGTTTGGCCACTGTAGTGGCGCAGTTACTGATTCCTTTGCATTGTAGTTGGGGTAGAAGCAGCAAAACGGTATTCGTTTCTCACTATAGTTGCATACTGAGTGGCGGTGCATGATGTACTTGGAGCTCTTTCTTGTCCAAGGAAAGAGTTGTAGAGAAATATGTACATCTGTTGGCTTAATAGATTATGTATTTATAATGGTGGCATTCGGACACCCACTTCATTGGCCACTAAGGTCAAATACTTGAGTACGTGCTTCTTAATAGATACAGTAGTACGAAAATTATTATGTAAGGCTGCAAATCCACAAATCTCTGATGCAAAGTCTCGTTGGCAGTTTGATATTAATTCTGCTCAGGTGCTTGAATGCTCTGCCAAAAAAAGAAAAAGTTAATACACTAAATCTGAAGAAAAAGAAGTTTAGGCTGAGGGGATGGGACGGCTTACAAGAACAAAAGGAAAACATAGCACAGGGTGAGGGAAAAGTATAGTGGGGTAGTCTTAACCTGTCTTTTCCCGTTTTGTTTGCTACCTCTATTTAGAGCTGTAACATCAAGCTCAAATATTAGCTAGCCTAAGTGAGAAATTGTATGAAAGTTAGATGTGAAACCAATTCTAGACCATATACCAATTGTTATCATGTCTTGGTATCATCTGAGATGACAGTAATTTGGATATAACGGGTTTATATACAAGTTATTTTGGAAATGGTTGTAAAAATTTGTGAGATAATAGTCGTTGACTAAGATAAAAGAATCAAAATATAATACAGATATTCTCGAATCTGGAGAAATATTATAATGATGCCAGCTTATATAGGCAGTTAACCATCCCTCCATAAACAGAAAATGCTTTGCCAATTCCAAGTGTTTCATCTATTTCTTTCCTATTGCTAAATAGGAAATGAGGAATATTATCAGACAATCTGCAGTCAAGGTGATACAGGCCCTTCTTCTTGAGCATCCGAAGTAATAATGTGAAGGTTCAGGCAAATGAAACTTCAATTCACAAATCTAAAGGGGTATCCACGCCAGGTTGCTTGTGTAGACAATAGTTAACCCCATTGCTCGAAGACATAAGTAGAAAACCCAAATAAAGAAAAGTAGATAAAAAAATTTCTCTGGAAATACGTACAGCAACACAGTGCATGGGATGACAGGAGTATCTATACTAAAGTGAAACTGGGAATCGACACAGACGTATTTGGTTGATTGTTGATGGAACTGCAAAAAGCAGGCATCCACGTTTCTGAGAAACACCTGCACTTTCCACAGCCCATTAGCTGAGTGTCGAGGTAGTAATTTAGTTACTATGCGTACATAAGAGTTACTGGACTGAGACGGGCTTTAATGGAGTGACATGGACTGTGAGGCGTCCCATAGCAGACCCCAACTTGCTTGTAATTGAGGTGTAGTTGTTGTTGTTGTGTGTACACAAGAACGACTACCACAATCTTTATAGAGGCATTCCCTAATGTTCTTCTTGTAAGTTCTGTCAGTACTGTCCTCAAGAGAAACTAATGAGCGACATCTGAAAAAAAAAACAAGTCACATTAATTGAGGTGACCCTAAAAGTTGGTATACACCATTCATTAACTGAAACTTGTTACCTTCAATACTTAACTAAAAGTGAAGCCATAAAATTCATTATACTATCTAATTATAGATCATAAGAATTTTGACATTGTTCAGAACTAAAATCTAAATCTCCTTATGTTCATTCACTTTGCAACGAGAAAGAAGTGATTGAGAAGTTGTCTTTCCATGTATGTGCTGGAGCACCAATGCAAAATGAAACAGACGTTTTATTTGATATAATCAATATATACTTGCAAGCTTCTGAGCTGGCACACGGGTAACTTAATTATTTGTGTTTTCTTTTGGGTCCTCCCTGATAATTGGTAAACCGAACTTTGATTCCTCCACCTAAAAGAAGGAGAAAAGACAAAAGGAAAAAAAGAAGGATACTCCGTGGAGAGGACGTAAAGGCATACTTTCAGTGGTTTCTTCAATGATCAATCTGTGATCTAAGTAAAAGAGGCAAGAAAGGCAGGTTTATTACAGTCCACTGAATGTTTTGGACCTTCCGGTTAGTGCTAGGAATGGTGTGAGAAATGGCAAGGTTGGGAAATAAGAAGGTAGATTCCAGATAAGATAAGGAAATTGAAGATTGATCTTGCATTTAAATGCCCATTGCTCCTCAAATCCATCCCCGTTAGGGAAAAATAAGCTCCAATATTTGTTCAGAATGAAAAATGAAGTAACCATGATAAAACTGAAAAGAAGTAGAGAGGCAAGCAATGAAACCTGGAGTTGAGTAAAGTAAATTGTCCAGTCCAGGATCGCTTCAGTTCCGTGATCTGGAGCATAAATTTCTCCTGAAGTTAATACATCTCTTGGTATGGCATAAATCACAGGGGAAGCTATGCAACCAAGAAAATTAAAGGAACAGAGCATGAAACATACACTACTATCTTAAACTAAATAGAAAGGAAACTGAAAGATACATCATAATGTGAAAGAGAAAATAACATTCTTTGCACGAGGGAAGGGGGTGGGTGGAGGCACTTGTCTCACCATTTGTATGGAGACTCTTCTTCGGCTTTGACTTTAGGGGTGAGCAGCTAGATGATGAAAGGAGAGAACGGGGCTGTTTAGAGACCATCTGGAACACCAAAGTCTATCAGTGTATCAGCACTAGGACAAGCTCATAGCTAGGACTATGCCAGAGACAGGGCAATTACTCTTTGCAGCAACCTTCCACTCTTGCACACCAATGAGATAGCCATTGGGTTGAACTGGAGTTTGCATGATTGAAACAGGAATACATAAGGGAAAGTGGAGGGTTGGGTGGGAGTCGGTTACAGTACTCCACATATCCAATGGTAAGTGTGGTCAAACATTTTCCTCTTCTTCAACTCCTAATCTACAGCATATGATGCAAGGAAACCTTTCTAGGAGAGGCAAACCAAAGGTTCGGCAACCTATGACCAAATTTTTGGTAAATTATCCAACTGGATGGTAGAGTCACCGTGTAGAAGAGGTCCAAAGATTGGTAGATATGATGCTATATCTCTAAAGATATTCACAGTACAAGTCTTCATCCATTTTGTTTCTGTGTCGGTAGCTCCCCCAGATACTTTGAAAGTTCTCCACCTTGACAAAAATATGCTAACCAGTAAAGAGCGACATGCAAAGACTTATTGTACTGAATGTATTTCACAAAGAACTCCATCCGGGCTCCTTCGCTATCCCAGTTCCTTGCATTGAACCCCTTATTTTCAAGACTTCTTCCCATTGGCCCACACTGGCCCAGATATTTGACAATGAGATATATGCACCAACTTCACTTGGCTCCAGCTCTATAATCTTATTTGCTGCCAGTTTTCCTAGCTCAACGTCGCCATGCACTTTACAAGCAGCAAGTAGTGTTCCCCAGACCAAAGCATCAGGTTTCATTGGCATCTCGATTATGAACCTCTCAGCCTCAGTTAATCTACCAGAGCGACCGAGAAGATCCACCATACAGGCATAATGACGGTAACCAGGCTCAATTCCGTAGTCTTTCATCATTGAAGTTAGAAAGAAATACCCTTCTTCAACCAAACCAGCATGGCTACAAGCAGAAAGAACACCAACAAAAGTCACTGAATCAGGCTTGATTCCTGAATTCCTCATTAACTCATAAACATGCAAAGCATCATCCCCTTTTCCGTTTTGAGCATAGCTTACAATCATAGCAGTCCAGCTCACCAAATCAGGTGCCAAGATTTCTTCAAATGCTTTGCAGCAATCATCAACACTTCCACCTTTTGAGTACATCATAACCAGTGAACCTCCTGTCGATGCTTCTGATTGTGATCCCATTTTTATACAATATGCATGCACTTGGATGCCAATGCCAGATCTGTTAGAAAGAGCAAGAACCCCAAGAATAGAAGAAATTGTAAAGGAACAAATATCTAAATCAGCCATCAGCATTTGCTTGAATAGCTGAAGCGCATCTTCCACATAACCCCTTTGAGCATACCCGGTGACCATGGAAGTACAAGAAAACTTATCTTTAAGGGGTAACATATCAAAGAACCTTCTCGCCGAAACTAGATCACTACACTTTGTATACATATTCACAATGGCACCATTGGCAATGCCGAGCTCACCAACACCGTGCCGAAAAATGAAGCCATGAATTTCTTTGCCAGTTTTCACGGTCTGAAGAGAACTACATGCGTTTAGGATAGCAGTTAATGTCATTTCATCAGGAGTGACGTCCTCCACGGACATCTCTCTGAACAATTCAACAGCTCTATCTGAAAAACCGTGTTCTACAAGACCAGCAATCATTGAGGCCCATGAGACATTATCCTTATCCTCAATCAGCTCAAATATGATATATGATTCCCCTATACTACCACATTTCGAGTACATTGTGAAAAGAGAGCTGCTCACATTAACATTAGAGATTAACCCCGATTTAAGAGTGTAGCTATGTATCTGTCTACCCAAGTCTAGACAGTCTACAACTCCCAAGACACTAGAACAACAGAACTTATCAGGTTTCAGGTCCTCCTGAAATATTCTTTGAAATAGATGAATTACCTTATCAGAATCACTATTCTGGGCAAGAACAGAAATCATGTTAGACCATAAACCTAGGTGCTGCAGATTTTCAGCCTCTGCAAAAACTGCCTCAGATAGGGAAACTTCCCCTATCTTCGAGTACATATTGATCAAAGAATTTTGCACAACTGGATCCTGATAAAGCCCAGTTTTATAGATCCAAGAATGGATTTGGATTGCTTCCTTTGCCATAGCAGGATTAGCACATGCAGTAAGCACACTAGTGACGGTGTAGCTGTTTATCTCGACCTCTTTATTCCTCATTTCCGCAAAGATTCCAACTGCAGAAAGAGGATCACCATTCTGGACGAAACCATTTAGCATGGCAGTCCAAGAAACAACATTGCTGACTGGCATCTGCATGAATTCCTTAAATGCTTCCTCCATAACCCCACATTTTGCATAAAAATCAACAATAGCAGTCCCCACGAAAACATCTTTTTCCAGGCCGCATTTTATCACCGCTCCATGAACCGTTTTGCCAAACCGAAGTTCCAAGAGTGCAACACAAGCATTCAATACACTAGGAATTGTAAATTCGTTAGGCTTTAAAAGCCCACCCCACAATCGCTTATAAATATCCAAACCAACCCAATACTCCCTATTTTTTATTGCCCCTGCTATAATAGCATTCCAACAAACCACATTATCACACAAACAATCATAAAACACCCTTAAAGCATCACGAAACCTACAACTTTTTGAAAACAACTCAATCATCCCACATCTTACATATCCATCAGAGAAGAACCCATTTTTCATCACAAGCCCATAAACCTGCTCGCCCCACAATGTAGATGTTAAAGCACCACAAGCAGAGAGAACACTGCCATATGTAAACATATTCATCTCAAACCCCAACATGTGCATCCTACAAAATAACCTCCAAGCATCCTCGTACAATAACGCTTTATTAGAATTTGAAATCATAAGATTCCACGAAAATGTATTTGGGTTAGGCATTTCATCAAGCAGCTTCGCCACATTGTCCAATCTTAATTTACAGTAAGCATCAAGCAAAGAGTTTGCAGCATATACATTGGATTCAAGATTCTGGGTCTTTATGAGATGGGCATGCGCAATTTCGGGTTTTGAGTGAATAATATTTCTGGGGTTGGTGCGTGCATTGAGGAACTGAATAGGGTGCTGGTCTGAGAAATTAGATGTGCTATCAGCTAAGGCAATGGAAGAGATGAATTTGCGTCCAAAAGCTGAGAATTTCTGCTCTAGTTGGTGGCAGCTGACAGAGCTCATTAATGAAATTGGATCATGGGAAATATGCAGGGAGTGGAGGGGTGGCCTGTGAACTGTTAAACTGAATATTGAAAAGCGCGGTAATGAGATGTGAAGGAGAATTAAGGCATTGGTTCAAAATCCCATTGCTGATAGTATTAAATTTGGACTGTGGGTTTCAAACTTTCAATTTCGATTGTATTGTTACTTTTAAGTGCAAAATTGTATTTGTTAAATCTGTTGTTACTAATAATGAATAAGTCATTGTAACAATCAGTTTAATATGGTGTTATGAAACATTAGATTACGGTGGATGTCCATATCTCCTAAATGAATAACACCCATTACTATTATTCATTATCTCCGTAACTTCCACTACTCTAATATTTATGGTTGTAACTCCCATACCTCCATAATCTCTCCCATGATCTTCATCCATCATCTCAAATGCTTAATGACATATTTATAGAATTATTTTGGTATACTTCTATGCAGTACTATAAATAAAGGATGATAAGTCATTTTGTAACACACTTGAATACATGGAAAAAATAAGAGTCTCTCCTCAGTTTCTCTCTATATCTCTTATCTATTTTCTTGTTTTATATTGTTGCTTTGAGCTTAGTTTCTTAACAAGTTATCAACACGAAGCACTAATCAAGTTAGAGGATAACTTCTTTGATGATGGAATTATGAATGGCCGACAACCTTGATTCAATTTGGTTGAGCCTATGGAAATCTGGGCATCTCATATGCCACATCAATGCTATGTCTGCTTCTATTATACAGGGAGTATCATTTTTCAGTTGCCATGAATTCTACAATTAACTAACGTTAGTATTTAAGACTTGGTCTAATTTGTGTTACTTAACAATTTAATTTTATTTGTGCATATGTATATATATATTGTGATGACCTTTTACTTGATTTACAAGTTAATTCTGTGTTTCGAGGCCTTAAAAACCTCCTTTTATCTCATCTCGATTTGCGTGCACACTCCGGATGTATATCTGGAACGCTTTTATGTGAAAATTTGATAAAATGCTAATTTTACCTTTAAAATTGAATTTAAGTTGACTTCGATCAACATTTTAGGTAAACGGACCCAAACCCATGATTTGACGGTCCCGGAGGGTCCGTAGGAAAATATGGGACTTGGGTGTATGCCCGAAATTGAATTCCGAGGTCCCAAGCCCGAGAAATGAATTTTTAAAGAAAATTGTTTAATTGAAATTATAAGAGTTTCTGAAAATTTAAAAATATTTGAATTTGATGGTATCAGGACCGTATTTTAGTTTCGGAGCCCGGTACAGGTCTTATATGGTATTTAAGTTGAGCCTGTAAAATTTGGAAAGAAACGGACTTCATATGACGTGAATCGGACCCTCGGTTGTGAAAATTTGAACTTAAGAGTTATTGAGATTTTTCTTTAATTTTGATGCTAAACTTGTAGTTCGAGGTATTATTTTGGCGATTTGATCTTACGAACAAGTCCGTATGATATTCTTAGGGTTGTGTGCATGTTTGGTTTGGATCCCCGAGGGCTCGGGTGAGTTTTGGGGTAGGCTTCGGGGTGGTTTTAACTTAGAAAAAGTTGCAGGCTTTGCTGTATCTGGTGTCTGATGCACCATGCTTCGCGATCGTGTAGTCACTCTCGCGATCGCGAAAAGGAAACTGGGAGTGGATTTGTTCTACGCGACCACGTAACCTGGATCGGGAATGCGGAGCACTAGGGGGCTGCTCTACGCGAACGCGACCTGTGTCATGCAAACGCGTATAGTAAATTGGAGGTGGGTTGGGATTCATCATTTCTTCTACGCGTATAGTTTAACTGCAGGTTATGTTGTTTGTTGTGTCCTAGACTCGTCACTACTTCGCCGAGGTTAGGCTCGACACTTACTCAGTACATGGGGTCGGTTGTACTGATACTACACTCTGCACTCTTTTGTGCAGATCCCAGTACTGGAGCATAGGGACCTTAGTTAGGGGTTGCTGCCTTCAGTCCATCAGAGACCCGAGGTAGTCCTGCAGGCGTCTGCAGGCCTTGACGTCCCCTTCCTATCTTGTTTCTCTGTTCTTTTCTATTTCAAAGAGAGATATGTATTTATTTTGTTCATACCCTATTTGTAGTATTCTTAGATAGTCCATGAGATTGTGACACCAGTTCTGGGTGGTTTATGTTTATGGATTCAAATTGGTATTAGCTTAATCGCTAAATTTTGTTCTTCCGCATTATTATTTCCGCTGTTTATAATATGTTAACTTGCAATTGTTAAGAGGTTAAAAACGAAAAGGGTAAATTAATTGGAATAATTGGCTTTCCTAGCTTTCACTAGTAGGCACCATCACGACTCCCGAGGGTAAAAAATCCGGATCGTAACAAGTTGGTATTAGAGCCCTAGGTTGCTTAGGTCTCATAATTCACGGACAAGCTTGGTAGAGTCTGAGGGATCGGTACGGAGACGTCTGTGCTTATCCCCCAGAGGCTACAGAGTTAGGAACAATTTCACTTCTATTCTTCTTTGTCGTGCGATTTGGTTTCTCAATGCTAATTGAACTTCTACTTTGTTCTTTCACAGATGGCGAGAACACGTGATTCTTCATCCGCTGATCAGTAGCCCGAGCCCCCAGTGGCAACTTCTATGAGGGGCAGAGGATAAGGCCGAGGCTGTGCTAGGGGCCGAGGCAGGGGCAGAGCTCAGCCTAGAGCAGCAGCTCTAGCGTCGGAGCCTCAGGTTGAGTTTGATGATGAGGTTCCGGCCCAAACAGTTCTAGTGGGCCCAGATCAGGTCCTAGAGGGGTTCATCGCTACCCGAGTACTCCAGGATGCTCTGGTCCGTCTAGTGGGCCTTATGGAGAGTGTTACCCAGGCAAGCTTACTTCCTGTAGCACCAGCCATCTCTCAGGCTGGGGGAGGAGCACAGACCCCTGCTACCCGTACTTCGGAGCAGATGGCTCCCCAGTTTCAAACTCTAGCAGCTCAGCTAGTTGGAGCAGTTCAGCTGGGTGTAGTAGCTCAGACCGGTGATGAAGCAGCTATGCCTGCCGATGCTTTGTGGAGTTTAGACAGGTTTACCAAGCTGTTCACTACTACTTATGGTGGTACACCTTCAGAGGATCCCCAAGATTACTTAGACAGCTGTCATGAGGTTCTTCGGAACATGAGGATAGTGGAGACTAATGGGGTCGACTTTGCTACTTTTCGCCTATCAGGTTCCACCAAGAAATGGTGGAGAGATTATTGTTTGGCCAGACCAGCTGGATCACCAGCTCTCACTTGGGACCAGTTCTTGTAGCTATTTCTCGAGAAGTTTCTTCCCGTCACTTAGAGAGAGGAGTACCGCAGGCAGTTCGAGCGTCTCCAGCAGGGTTCTATGACTGTCACCCAATATGAGATGAGGTTATTGATTTGGTTCGTCATGCTCTTCTGATACTCCCCACTGAGAGAGAGAGGGCGAGAAGGTTTATTGAGGGATTTGTTTAGCCTATTAGACTGCAGATGGCTAAGGAGACAGGTAGAGAGATTTCTTTCCAAGATGCGGCCAATGTGGACAGGCGGGTTGAGATGGATTTAGCTCAGGGGAGCGGTCAGGGATCTGATAAGAGGCCTTGTCATTCTAGCAGATTCAGTGGTACCTCGTCTGGAGGCAGTGATTCTTTTGGTAGAGGCCATCCTCCTAGGACATTTCAGTCAGCACTTCAGGCTTCTCACGATGCTCCAGATGGCCGTGGTTCTCATATGCAATATTCTGATCAGTTGCCCTACAGTGCATCACTAGCTCCTATTAGTGCACCTCCACTCCAAAGTTTTTAGGGTGGTTATCCAAGCTGTTAGGGTCAGTTTCAGGGTCAGCAGTCTTAGAAGCCGAAGTCTTACTATACTCACGGCGATACGAGGCACATTTCTAGGTGTTGCCCTTGAGCCTCAAGCAGTTCTCAACACCATGGTTCTCGTGCTATGGTTCCAGCACTAGGTGTTCCACCGCCCGCTCAGCCAGCTAGAGGTAGGGGTAGAGGTGTTAGAGGTGGAGGCCAGCCAGCAGGAGGCCGTCCTAGGGATGCAGTTCATAGTGGTGGGGCCCAACCCCGATGTTATGCTATTCTAGCCAGACCTGAGGCTGAGGCCTCCGATGCAGTTGTTACAGGTACGATTTTGGTGTGCATTAGAGATGTCTCAGTTCTATTTAATATAAGGTCCACATATTCTTATGTATCATCTTATTTTGCCCCTTATCTGGTTGTGCCTCGTGATTCTTTGAGTGCTCCTGTATATGTGTCTACACCGCTGGGTAATTCTATTGTGGTAGATCATGTTTATCGTGCTTGCGTGGTCGTTATTGGGGGTCTTAAGACCCATGTAGATCTCGTACTTCTCGATATGGTGGATTTCGATGTCATTCTGGGGATGGATTAGTTATCCCCTTATCATGCTATATTGGATTGTCATGCCAAGATCATGACCTTAGCACTATCGGGGTTGCCTCTTTGGAGTGGAGAGGGACTCCTGGTCATTCTACTAGTAGGGTTGTCTCATAAATGAAAACTCGGCGTATGGTTGATAAGAGATGTTTGGCTTATTTGGCGTATATTCGTGATTCTAGTGCTGAGGTTCCTTCTATGGATTCTGTGTCCGTTGTTTTTGAGTTTTTATAGGTATTTCCTTCAGACCTGCCGGGGATGCCACCCGACAGGGACGTTGACTTTTGCATTGATTTGGCTCCGGACACTCAGCCTATTGCTATTTCGCCATATCGTACGGCCCCACCAGAGTTGAAAGAATTAAAAGAACAGTTGCAGGACTTGCTAGATAAAGTCTTTATTAGACCGAGTGTCTTGCCTTGGGGTGCGCCTATGTTGTTTGTTAAGAAGAAGGATGGGTCGATGAGGATGTGCATAGATTATCGGCAGTTGAACAAAGTCACCATCAAGAACAAGTATCCATTGCCGAGGATTGATGATTTGTTTGATCAGCTTCAGGGTGCCAAGGTATTTTCGAAGATTGATTTGAGATTTGGCTACCATCAGTTGAGGATTAGGGCATCCGATGTCCCTAAGACAGCTTTTCGTACTCAGTACGGGCATTATGAGTTCTTAGTGATGTCATTCGGGTTGACAAATGCCCCCAGCAGCTTTCATGGATTTGATGAACCGAGTGTTCAAGCCTTATTTGGATTCCTTCGTGATTGTCTTCATTGATGATATTTTGATTTATTCCTGCAGCCGGGAG